AAAATTCAACTTTCGAGTTCTCATATTTAATTCTCTCCCATTTTTTATAATCGAAAAATGATTATAAAACCAAAAAATGAGAAAGCGCTCAAATTCCGAATTTTTCTATCCAAAACTCCCCTTTAACACATGGCATAAACATTTTGCAAAAATCCAGAAAATCCAAAAAATCTCAATTTTCAAATTCGTTCACGGACCGTCTTTGACGAAATTTCACAAATTTGGGTAGAAACTGTCAATTTCGAAATTATGCAGTGACCCGGTGCGCCCAAAACAGCCTAAGATGCGAAAATTTTACCCCAATTGCGAAACTGGGTATAACGTGTAAATTCGCATTAACTGCAGGGGTCTGTTTCGAAAACAATCCCATTTCTTAGAATTTTCAGCCCAATTTCGAAGTTGGGTAAATTCTGCCATTTTACACAAACTCTAGGGATGCGAAACGAAAATTCAGGTTATAACATCATTTTTACCCCATTTCGAAGTTGGATTATTTTTGCCACTTCGTTGAAATTCCAGGGGTGTAATTCGAAACTATTTGCCATCCTGGTAGGTATGATATCAATCGAACATACTTTGACTTCAAAAAGTCAACTCAATTCCATTTCCTCAACTTGTTTCCACATGCGAACTGAATAACAACTTCAATCGATTTCACTTCCTTCTAAATACATCGAAATCGACTTCCCAACACCAATTCGAACTACTCCCAATCAAAATCAACTTCCACTGGGACTCAATCATCAGTCGAAATTCCCAAATATATTGTGACTCATCTGATTTTGATCAAAACACATTCGATTTTGAGACTATTGATGCTTCACCGACTTGAAAACCTCAGCATCATCATTTATCATACGAAATTATAATGGTTGATTTGAACAAAACTTAGTCAAAATCAAATGCGACTCCAATTTCAAGTTTTCCAAATATGATTACAGATGCGAACTGATATAGAGTTATCACCATTAGTCGACTCATTATCCCAAAATTCAAGTTCACATCTTTCATCTATTCGAACTACAATCATCACACGAAGTCGACCAAGCATACCCAGTATACAATCAAACCAATCGAAAGAAGAAAAAATCATATGAACTCATTTGACCAGAGAAATCGAATAGATGAATAGGAGACGTGTATTGGGCTTGAATTCGATAAACAGTACTTGAAAACTTTTTGGGCTGAAAATTGGATCGATGAATAAAATTATTTCGAAATTTTGATTTGGGCTAAAAAACAATTAGATGAACAGTAATCAGAAAATTGGTTTAATTCATTTAGAATTAAATTTGGATACCAACGAGTAATTGCAAAATTTTGAGAATCGAATCGAACAAAAGAATATGATTGGATCGGGTTTGATCAATGAAAAAATTATTAAATCATAACATAAATATATAAGGTTGTATTACATATTTGATTAAAACATTTGTAGAGAAAAAAAAATACACTCCTATATAGGAGTGAGCAAAACCGAACCCGGAAACCGAAAAACCGATAAAACCGAAACCAAGAAACCGAAACCGAAGCATAAACTGACGGTTTGGGTTTAGATTTTTTGAAAACCGAAAATTTCGGTTTGGGTTTGGTAAAACCGATAGAAACCGAACCGAACCGATTATATATATTGTTTATAAAAATATATAATTTATATTCAAATATAAATATGTTTAGCGAAGTAATGTCAAAAGGATGACCTGGTTCAGGTGGGTAAGGCGCTCGCGTGTTTTTCAAGAGGTCTCAAGTTCCAAACTTGTGTCCAGTATTTCACTTTATATATATATATATATATATATATATATATATATATATATATATATATATATATATATATATATATATATATATATATATATATATATAATAGATTGTTAATGTGGCTTGGCATGATGATAAAAATAAACCTAGTGAGTCTATAAATAAAAAGACATGGATTCTTAACGTGTCTTGTTGATAAATAATTTAGAACGATTTATGTCGATGAATGCCCTAAAAGTGGAAGTAAACTAAATTACTAATGCATTGATTAAAATAAAATATAGGGTAAATTACACTAATGGTCCCTGTAGTTTCAGATCGAACTTTTATTTTTAACTCGTACAGTCCATATAAATTGATTTTGTTGCGTCTTTAGTTCATGATTGACCTAAAATGATCATTTACCCGTATTCATTTATTTATATTTACTTGTCTTTTATTTTTATTTACAATTTACAAAAAAAAAAAAAAAAAAAAGGAAAGGAAAACCCCTCCATCCCTAACTGGCTACCCCTCATCACAACCCTGACCTATCTTTAAGGGGGTGTTTGCGATTGTCTTTCAAAAAAGGTTATTGACTTATTGACTTTTTGAAAAGCTAATAATCAAAAAAGTGTTTGGTAAACTCAAAAGCATTTTTCAGAATAACTTTGATTTTATAAAACATGTAAAACTTGACTTTTTAAAACTACTTTTGTCTTTTTAACCAAAATAACTTAAAAATGAGATTTTAAGTCAAACACTTTTTAACATATTGACTTAGGCCCCGTTTGATAGACATCTTTCCAGCTCCAAACAGATCTTTATGGCTGAATGGACCGGAAAGATTGTTTGATATGCACAAAAAAATTGGTTTTTCCCGATAAGATATGTCTTTCCCAGAAAACTTCAAAACCATATCTTTCTGGCTAAAGAGGCTGGAAAGACAATTGTACCACAAACTCCGCCTCTTTATTTCTTAGATTATTAATTTCTTTTAAATAATTTTTTTTAGTTTTTTTATTGGATTATTATATATTAATAAATATTGTTTTTAATGTATAATATTTATGTATTAATTAATATTATTTTATTGGATTATTAATTTCTTTTAAATAATTCTTTTTTTATTTCCTTTTTATGGATTAATGTATTGGATTAGATTATTATATATTAATAAATATTACTTTGATGGATTATTAATTTTCTTTTAGTTAATTTTTTTAATTCATTTTTATTGGATTAATCCTTTTTATAGACAACACCACCATCCTCCTAATATATTTTTAAAAAAATCATCCATCCCACCACTATCAGAAATAAAACGGGTCAAAAATCACATGTTGAGTTATAAAAAAAAGTTATAATTCCTAGAAATAATAACAACGTAACATCAACTTGAAAAAAAAAATAAACTAAAAACAACTTAATCAATATTATATTTGGATTTTTAAATGATTACTGTGTAATTTTGATTTTTTATGACATTTTATATGTTTTTATAATTATTCAGTAACTTCATCAATCACAATATAGAAAAGCAGGGTAATATTGTCATTTTTCATCATTAAGCACAGTCAATCAAATGTATAATCAAACAACATGGTTTCTTTCTCCGTCAGAAAACTTTCCCATACAGCACTTTCTCAGAAAGCACTTTTTCGGACAGAAACTATCAAACGGTATCTTATTAGCTTTTTCACCATAAAAGTTAATCCAAACACTTTTTAAAAAACTCCTTTTACCAACACCATAAGTCAATAAACACTTTTGTCTAAAAGCACTTTTAAAGTTCAAAAAGCACTCCCAAACACCCCTAACTGTGTGATGTATCGTGTTTCTTCTCTGCTTAACACAGGTGCAAGAAATCCTATAAGTCAATAAACACTTTTGGGCCCTCTTAAAACATGGGCCCTGGACGGTCGCCCTATCGCCCACCCTCTGGGATGGGCGTGGTCGTCGCTGCTATGGATGTTTCTGACGAACATAAATCAGAAACCAATAACCCTCTCCTCTCCTTCTCTCAACTCCGGTCAACTAACCCTAACCCCTGAATTTGGAACATTGTCGACGTCGCTAGCATCTTCGATTTACTCCACCAAAAACACAACCTATGCCATCTCCAACATCTTAGACTTACTCTATCACATTTTGTCACATTTTTTCTGGTTTATTCCAATTCGATTTTGAGTTTGATTTTGGCTTCCTTTTATTTCAGTTTTTAGGAAAAATCGAATCAAAAGAACACCGATATGTTTATCACGAAAACATCTTGCCAAATCGCCATCGATTTCATTGAGGTTTTATGGGTATACCTTCAAGTATTGGTATGAGTCTTCATTTTTTTTTTATTATAAATGGTTATCCTTGCATTTGCGTATTCGATGGAGGGACCTTCTCTCGTTATTCCCCTTCTCAGTTCTCTTGTATTTTTGATGGATTTGCCTACCTATTCGAAAAACCAAAATCACAAAACATAAATGAATTTAAGGATTTAAGTTTTTTTGTTTGGGATTTTAATTGGTTTAACGGTTTTTTATTTCTAGGATTCTATGGGATTAAAGTTTTTCATCGGAAGTATGACCGGAAAATAGATTCCCAGTAAAGATTCTTGCTACTACTTTTCAGGTAGTTTTATACGAGACTATGATCTGTTTGTTCGTATTTTTGTTTTGTATTTTTTTTTTTTTTTTTTTTTGCATCTGGGTTTTTCTTGTGACAAAAGTTTTTTGTTATTTTTATTGATTTCTGCTTGTTAATGAATTTTTAGTAAAATGAAGATTGATGAATTTCTAGTAAGATGGAGGGCAAAACGGTAGTCTTGACGGAGAAGACAAATGTATGGTAGTGGTTCACCGGAGGAGAACAGAAAGAAAAGGGTGATGGGTGGGTTAGGTGAGAGGAGATCGGATGGGAGCTGGACCCACACATCTAATTATCAATTTTCTTTAATAAATAATAACTTAAATAATAATAATAAAGTAAATAAAAATAATAAGAAGGACAAAATAGTTTTTTTGTTTTTAAGATTAATAGGACCCAATACGCACCAAAACCAAAAAAATAAGGACTATCCGAATGTAGACGTAACGAGCAAGTAGCAAAACTTTTGTGGAAAACGGGATTCGAACCTATAACATCTAGATCCCAAAATGTAGACGTAACCGGTAAGTAGCAAAACAATTCCAAGACATTAAACCTAAATTTATATATTAGTACTATATTGTAGATTTTCTACCTCATTATATTTCCCTTTATTGCTATCATCTTCCCGCCCCTCCCCCTTGCTCCGCTTTACAGAAACGCCGACCATGGTGTCGCCACACGGGATCAAACTAGCGGTACATCTCATCACCACTTACTTCGGCGACATCGTTTCTGTAAGTTTTCCTATTAACCTAATATCATCTACTTGTTCGATCATTTTCCAATTAAAATATCCCCAAGTAGGTTACAATCACATACAATTACAGAAAGTATGCGAATGTCTTCTACGTAAAGGAACGCTATCTCTACAGCAAGTGCTACGATTCACCGAACTCAGTAAACAGAATGCTACCAACGCTTTACTTGTGTTGATTCAGCATAATTGCGTTCAGGCCTTCAGTATCGAACAACAAGGTACTCTTTCTAATCAATTTTTTTTTCTCATTGTTATATTATACACCAACTTCAATTTCACACTACATTTGCAATCGATATGGTTAATTGAGTGTTCAAATTGTTTTAACTTAAGAATGTTTGTGGTGTTTCAATATTTGGCTGATGGATCTGGTGAGATACTATAGGCAATGGCTTCCATACAACTTGCTTAATATACAAAGTGGATTTAGATTCTTTTTCATGCTCAATCTGTTCTGAAAACGAATGACAAATATGTCTGTGCAGGTGGATTTGGGGAATCAGCAAAGATGGTGACTCAATATATGGCCTTACATGACAACATCATCCACCATATGAGGTTCCCTAAGTTCTTAGATATTGTGTCAAAGGAACTTGGACAAGAGGTAACTTTTTTGTTTAATTTCTCTAGAACTTTTTCTGACTGTGTTGCTTGTTTGTTTAGTGCATGGAGATTTTTGAAGGATTAGTTCAACATGGTAGATTATCAATGAATCAGATCATGGATAGGCATAAGGGTATGCATAAGGCCTTGACAAGTAATGAAAATAGCACTGCTGCTGATGTGTTACATGAAAACTTCAGTAAACTTGCTCAGGCACGCTATATTGAAAGATGCCCTGCTCATTCACCATTTCTTAAAACAGAAAAAGAAGATGGTGCAAAGAAAAAAACTCCCAAGTCTAAGGTAACAACTATTTGTCCAACCATTATCAGCCATTGATTATTTCCTTAAATGTGGATTTCAAGAAACTGATACTGAATTTATAATCTTTTCTCAGATGGCTGATGCATCACAGACCTTGGAAGCACGTGCAATAGCAGAAGCATCTCTTATGGAATCAATAAGATTTTTAGTTGAAGCAGATACAGTTACCAATGGTGCCCCTAATGACAATACCAAAAAAAACACTAATACAGAAGTTGTTGGGGAAAAGGTACATTTTGTTTTTATATATGGGGAAAAGGTGCAAATGTGATGACAGATCTCATATGGCTATACTTATGTTTTTCACAGCGCAAGCAACCTGAAACAGGGGCTACAAATGAAAATAAAGAAGTTCTTTGGCGCGTTAATTTTGAGGAATTTGTACGACGCCTTCGCCACAAGGTTTTTTTTTTTTTTTTTTTTTTTTTTCATTACATACACCCAAAAAATGTATTTAGCTTAAGTTGATTAGATATTAACATGATTATATAATATGTGGTTTACAGTGTTGTGTTGCCCATGTGACAACACGTATGGATAATGAAGCTGGCATTGTTCTAAGTGCAATTTTTGATGCAAGTAGAAGAAATGAAACTATAGTGAAAATGGAAAAAACAGGTATATGACTGCATCTTTTTTGGGCAAATTGCAGAGAATTGTATGTAAAAAATAAAGTGCATTGTCTATATTGGTAAAAAAGAGTAAAGTATGTTGCTTTTTCTGAAATCTTCCATCTTTTTTTTTAATCTTGTTATATTTGGATATCTAAGAAGATTTTAAACAATTTTGGGTATCACAGTTCCACTTTCCATGGATACAATATATGAGGAAGCAATGAAAAGTGAAAAAGGTCGAAGTTTGACTTTAGAACGTGTTAGAGATTCACTTGTGCAGTTTGGTTGTGAACTTCCTATAATTGGGATAGATGAAACATATAGCATTGGTAAGCTTATTATTTTATTAATTATTTATTCATAATCCATTAAAACCTATAATTAAATAAATTGCTATTTATTGTTGCATAGATTTGAAGAAAATCATTGATGAGGCTCAAGTTCAGGAGGTTGAATCGATTGTGATGAAAAAATATGGCAGGGAGGCTTACAGGATATTTAGATTATTATTACAAAGCGAAAGGCTATGTGAAACTGATCAGGTAGTCAAATATATATATATATATTTTTATTATTATTCTTATTTGGCTTTGTATCTTTATAATTTTAGGGTTTTTGATGTAGATATCGATCACTACATTTGTTGATAAGAAAGATGCGTTGAAGATTCTTTTTCAGCTATGGAAAGATGATTTGTTGCATATGGAGGTATTTTTTGTTTGTAGGGTTGTTGAGAATTAATGTTTACCATGATGATGATGATGATGTATGGTACAGAGACTTGGAAATGAAGGTACGAAGATGGAAAGTTTGTATTGGAAACTGAATAAGGTTTCTGTTTGGGAACAAGTTGTAGATGACATGTATCATGCTGCCCTTAACTTAAAGCTTCGTCTTGAATATGAGCTTCATCAGTCAGATGTAACTATACTATCATACAGTTTATTTTATTTTTTTTATATTTTTTTGTTTAATATGATGGACAGGGTTACTTAGATTGTGGTGTTAATTGCTATAGGTTATTGGGAAAGGAAAGTCTGCCGGAAAAGAGGAGGTGGCAAAACGCATGAAGCTTAGAGAGAAATGGGCAGTTCTAGATTCTTCTCTCATGATCCTTGATGATGCTATTATGCTATTTCGTGACTTTTAAACTATTTTATTTATTTATTTATTTATTATGATTATGATTATGATTATGTTGGTTTCGTACATTGAATAAGAAACTTTAATATATACTGTATGATTTTTGGTATTTAGTGGAAGAATTTTATCATCGAATGTGACTATGATTGGGTGTTGAAAAAAACCGAAACAGAATAAACCACCCGAACTGAATAAGGTTTGGTTTTCGGTTCTATTTTTTACTATACCGAATAAGGATCTAGGACTTTTAATCATCAAGATGTATGATACATTTGATAATTTGATTAATTAGTAGATTCCATAATTACCCTTCCATATTGTGTTCTAAGTTCATTATATAAAGATTCAAATCATATTTCAAACTTTTCTGAAAATCATGAATATTATAGTATCATGCTATAAAAGTGGTCTAATGTGATTTTAAAATATGGTTGGTACCAAATCATTTGGATTTGTTTTATGGTATAAGGCTAATTGAGGTTACATATACATAGAGTATAATTTTAACCACTTACAGAATTAACAAATTAAAATGGGTTAGCTTTTGTATTGTTTGGATTTCATAGAATAGACCTCTAGACAAACATCAAATTGATATGCACATTTATTAGCATGCAGCCGTTAAAAAACAAACAATTTTCTTGTATACTGCAGATGTTTGGTCCACCTCTTCTATAGCAGAAAAGTCTGTACATAAGGTCTACAAACTGCAGAACAACACCTATTTCTTCTTACCCAAGTCAAAATCCAAAAAGCCACCAAATCCTAACAAAGACCTGAGAAGATTTCAAGAAACCCTTTTGATCTCATTTGATTCATCTCCTTCGTCACCATCTTATTCGATGTGAGAAAATAGAAGAACTAACAACAAACTTTAAGGATTTCAAGAAAGCAAAGTTCAAAAAACCTTAAATCAAACCAGATTGTTCATGCATTTGGAAATGAGAAAGGCATTGAAAAAAAAATATTTCATAAAATATATTTAGACGGCTAAATAGTGACATTTTTATAACTTGAATGGTGAATTTTGCTATAAGTCCTATATATAAGTTACTAATCCTGTTATAACATGTCTCAATAACTAAATGGAAACAAAATCGTGACTTTAATGCCTTTTTGTACAATGAAAACTTTGATTGTTAAATAAACACAATTTTAAGACTTCCATCATTAAAAAAAAGGTCATGAATTCCAAAACGAATTTACCCTACCACAAATTAGCTGTCCGCAAAAAAAAAAAAAAAAAAAAAAAACCCTACCCACAAAAGCATCAAACCACAAGGAATAAATTTGTGTTTGACAAAACTACAAAAATGGTCTTTGTGATATGTATTTTTTTAAGAAAAAGATCTAAACCCTTAAAAAAATTGGATCAATGGTCATTTTGGACATGTTTATATTTGGATGTGGTCCTTTCCAAATTTAAAAAAACTATTATACCCTTTTATTTTTATTATTTATTATTTATATATTTTAATAATTTAAAAAAATAAGAGAGAGCCTATAACATCTCGGCCCCCTCTCTCACCAAAAATATCATCACCCACCCCATACACCCTTCACTTACAACTCTCTCTCTCTCTCTCTCTCTCTCTCTCTCTCTCTCTCTCTCTCTCTCTATATATAGAAAAATTAGAACAGACACTTTAAACTCACGTCATGTTTTTAATCCTTGTCTCAACATTAGAAGAACCCTCCCTACGAAAATCAAAGAACATGGGTTCGACCCTTTGATTTGTATGTCTTAAAGACAAAGTCGCAACCACCATTTGATCTCTATGAATCAATGACTAGTGAAGGGTTGGATTCATCCGAAGCCATCAGAGCCATCACCAAATGTTGATTTTGTTCTTCAACACACAGACAGATTTCTAAAGATGAACAAAGGAGCTTCGATGTTGTTTATAGAAATCAAGAACAAACCCATATTTATGGGGACAAGCTCCTGAATAATCCCATATTTCATATGTGGTTTTCGTTTATGGAACTAAAAAACCCAAAAAACAAATATGGAATCGATTTGTGTGCATGGTTACAGGTTTTTTGAATATGGTAATCATCTTCCAGATTGAGGAACCTTCAAATTCAAGGGACGAAAAACGTGAAGGGATGGGGAGGAGATACACATACCCGGTGTTGTAAAACTCGCCGAGTTGGCCGATTACTCCTCCGGGTACTCGCTACTCAGTCCCTTATCGATGTGAGTTACAGAATCCCGAGTACTCCCCGATCGGCCCCTTACTGAACTAAGCAGTGTTGTAAAACCTAATCAACTCAATGATTAATATGTATAATATACTTAACGATTTATTATTTAACACACACACATGTGATTATTACTATTATATATATATATATATATATATATATATATATATATATATTAAATTTTCAGTAATTATTCATGAAGTGAGACCATTATGTGTTTTTTAGTTTTTGTGTATTCACATGTATCTAATTTTGTTATATTTCAATCAACTTAAGATTTTAACTTATGATTTTGACATATATAAGCTCCCTAAAAATATTTCTACATGAATTACCGAATCCGAGTACTCCCCGAGTACTCCTGAGTACTCGCTACTCGGTAACGAGTTCTACAACATTGCACATACATATACATTATCTCTCTATCACCCCCACATTATCTCTCTATCACCCCCACTGAATCTCTATCTCGAGTCTCTATTTCTCTTGTCTCCCTTTTACTCACGGTGATTGGTGATCAACTGATAAAAACAAGGGAGTAACATGTGGTGTTGGGTAGTTGAGTTCATTTCGATGTTTGGTGATTTATGGTGGTTTCAGATGGTGATAGGGTTCTGATTTTGTCAAGAAGATGATCAGAATAGGATTTTTTCGAATGTGATCGACTATGAGAATAATGATGGTGGGCGACTCTCGTGTTGGTGGCGAGAAGGAGGGATGGTAGTGAAGAGCTAGGGGATAGATATACTAGTGGGTTGCTTTCAATTTTTTTTTTAAACGACAAACTAATCTACTCCTAATTAAGTTTTAATTATAGTATAAAAATAATTATTAAAAAATATAAAAATAAAAATAAAAACGTATACCCATTACCCAAAAGGACTACCGATCCAATTTTACGAGGGTCTGAACTTTTTCCTCGGAAAATAAATAGACACGGCTATTTTAGCAGTTTTGTGTTTGCGTTTTGTCGTGGTAGGGTTTTGTTGTTGTGATCTGGAGGGAAACTGCGTCTCTTTCAAGTCTCAAACCCTAATTTTGCATCATCAACGCATTGATCTATCGATTTCCACCTGCTAACTCCACTTAAAAGATCAGAGCATTCGTGTTTCACCTTCTTCTATCAAGAGAAGAAGTTTCTCCTTCTTCTACAGAGCTATTGGCGAATTTGTGTTGATTTCACTATGTAAGTTTTGAAATTTCTTAAATAACGCAGAGAATGAAGTCTGATCACGATAATGTTAGACTAGTGGTAGAAGAAGATAGAATCAGCAGGTTGCCAGACGAGCTTATTCATAAGATCCTGTCTTGTTTTGATATTAAAGTTGCTGTTCAAACATGTGTGCTATCATCGAGATGGAAGCTTCTCTGGACATCAATGCCCTTTCTCAACTTCTCAAATGTGAAGGTTCCTGACCTCTGTTCGTTTGCCAAATTCGTGACTCATGTTCTGTGTGGCCTCAACCATCAAATACATGTGTCTTCCGTAAAGCTAGATTTCAAAGGAGCAGCCAATGAGGATTTGTGAGAAATATTGCAAGTTATGCCTTCTCTCACAATGTGCAAGAACTAGCTGTTAATAATTGGACCATAGGCCTCCATGTTTATCCTCCTTGCCTATTTAGCTCTCAGTCTCTTAAATACTTCAATCTTTCTGTCTATGGAAGCGAGCTTGCGTTACACCCAAAACTCCTTGGGATTTTCCAGCTTTAACAACATTGCATCTCAGTGGTATTGCATTGTGTGGTGATCTTTTCTCTAAATGTGTGAACTTAAAGAACCTCACTTTAAAAAGATTCACGATCAAGGGTGTAGATGTATTTGACATCATTGCCCCTCGACTTTCTAATCTCAGGCTTATCAACAGCAGTTGTTCAAAAGTCATAAATATTATAGCACCACAACTTGAGAATCTCACAGTAGATAATTGCCGAATCAAGTGTTTGAATGGTCCATCAGGACTTCCATGTTTGTGCTACAGGGGTTATCGGCCCACACCATTGTCTAAAGATGGATTGCGTTCTCTAAACAAAGTGGACATCTGTTTATCTATGTATTTTTCACCCATACTATATAAGGAGGGAGATGCTCGCAAGATTATTGACATGCTTCAAAATCTCCATAGTGCAAAATATCTTACACTTAATGCTGACATCGTTGAGGTACACTGGTATCATTTAAGTAGACTTACAATGTTTATGTTTTTTTAAGCATTCTCAACGTATATTTTTCTTGTGCAGTGTATTTCCTCATTTCCGGATTTGTTATTGGAACATCCTTCACCTTTTAACAACTTGATAAGCTTGACTGTAGACTCCAGTATGAGAGAGTTTCCACACAAAGTAAAAATGTCTACTGAAGCTAGAAACTTCTTGCTCAACAACTCCCCAAGTGCCACGTTAAGGATGATATATTCATATATTCATAATACTTCACATGCATAGCTTAATGTTTTGAACTCATTATCTTTGTTTTAAGCATATACTCCTTGAGACCAACCTTGAATCCCCGGCTTGGCAGAATCAAACTTTAACAAGTATCATGAACTTAATTTTCGGGGCTACTAAAGATTATGCCAACATAAAGATGTTCATCCTTATTGGATTTATGAAAATGTTAGAGTTAATCTTACTTATATATTGTGGGTTCTTTTTCTCATTGAAACTTTTGATTACTATATGCCTTAGCAAGTGATTTCTTCAACATTGTTGAAGTTTACAACCTAGAACACTAATAGAAATAGTGGTGAGCATTTGGACTGGACCGGTTTGGTAGAAGTGGGGTGACCGCGGACCGGACTGTGGAGGCTAACCGGTCCGGTTCCGATTTCGGGTCCGGGCTTTATGGTTCTTGTACCCATTGGACTAGTACAAATTTAGTTAAATGTGGTACAAATCGTTGAAGGCCTATCAATAGTTTTTTTTTTATTTTTTTATTTTTTTTATTTTTTTATGTTAAAGTTAATTTATCTGTTATGAGGCTTAAAAGGAATACATTTTTGAGTTTGATTGTTCGTTTTAGATTAAAAAGTTGAAAATTTTTCTACCTTGATATCCCAACATCGGGGGACTGTAACTTATTAAATATGTAACAAAAAATAATGAAATTATTGCTTAAACTCAAGTACAAACTCTAAATTAAATGTCAATTTCAAACAAATGAAATATGCATGTTTTAAAATATTCGTAGATTATAAAAAATTGTTGAAACGTTGAAAACTTTGTAGCATTGATATCTCGACTTCGAGAGACTATAACTCAACGACACCAAATTGGGCAGAAATAACCTTCCTCCCCCGCTTCCGAATGCACCTATTTCCCCGACCCTGAAATCCTTCGTCTCTCTCTCTCTCTCTCTCTCCGTTTGACCTGAAATCCCATGTTTAACCTTATTTGCTTTATTTTAATTCGTTTATTTCGTTTAAACTTATATATTACACTATTTATTTAAATACACAACATATATTACACATGGTTTATCCTACAAAAGACATTATATTTACAATCTTGTTATGTTTCAGCTCTAATTTTATTTTTTATTCCTTCTTTGCCATCTAGCCCCAACATTTGCCATTATTTTTTAGAAAAAATTTCATTTTAGCCATAGGCCAGTCACGAAGAGATATTTTAAAACGTAATAGCTTAAAATGAAAAAGAAGGAAAACACGAAGGCAATAGTCGAAACTGCAACTTCTTTGTGAGGGGTGGGGTGTTTAGTTACTAAGTTAATGACTTTTTTTTTGTATTATCAATGTTTGTTGTATTTAATGTACACATGTATTTTAAAATGAAGGAAAAAAACCTAGTGTAAGTCTTTAGTGTGTGACATCTAATAAATATTATGACATGCTAATCTTTAAACAGATCAAAATTGTTAATTCATTAACTCATCTAAGAAACAATTAGTTATTTCTGACAACATATTTGGTGAGAAACCAAATATTTATAATGACATATTTATTGAGAAACTAAAGAAATGACAATTTTTATTGGTTCAAAGATTAACATGTCATATCGTTTATTAGATGTATCGGACTTGAGACTTACACTAGGTCTTTTTTTCCTTCATTTTAAAATACATGTGTACATTAAATATAATAAATATTGATAATACAAAAAAATAGTCATTGACTTACTAGCTAACACGCTCCACCCTCAAGGAGAAGTCATAGTTTTGACTATTGCCTTCTTTTTTTCTTGTTTCATTTTAAATTGACAAAACTGCACAAATGGTCCCTGTGGTTAACTCACAATTGCCACTTTGGTCCAAAAAAGTTTGGACTAGCACCACAGGTCCAAAGTTTTCATTTTGTTGCGTCTTTGGTCCAAAGGGTTAATTGTCGTCTATTTGCTTCTGTTAATATATGTTTGACTTGTCAAATTGGGGGTATTTTGGTCATTCCCTATTTATTCCCCTTATTTAATATTAATAAAAGAGAGTTATAAGATCGAACCCTAAACCTTCTTTGTCGTCGTCCTCATTTGCTTCTTCTTCAACAAATCGACTATCCTTTTCTTCTTCAAGAAATCGAAATAAAAATGGTGCTTTGTTTTTTTGGTAAAATGGCCATAGTTCGCACCACATGAACTGACAAAAATCCAGGTCGACGCTTCTTGGGATGCCCTACTGAGGTACGCAAAGGTTTTTTTTGGATTTCAACATAAATCTCCAATTACATGTTACAATCTTCTTTTGTTTCTTCAATTTTGAAGGGATCCAAATGTCGATTTATTGGGTGGTTTGATGGTCCAATGTGTGAACGTTCAAAATCTATTATACCTGGGCTGCTGAGGACAATCAACAAATTGAAGTCACAAAACACAAGACTCAAATGTTACCTGTTATGCAGTTGGATGTTGTTTGTGTATGTTCTGGTTTATAAGAAGTAGTTTGAAGTGTAATGGTTTGGGTAGTGTTTTAATGTTTTGGGTAGTATTTTGTTTAAGAAATGTAATCTTTTGGGCAGTACTTTGTGGTAGTCTTTTGTGGTTAAAATGTAAGCAATGTAAGACATGTTTTGCAACAAATTGTCAATAGTAATTATATTTGGTATGTACATTTTGACCATTCTATTTTGTTTATGGTTTACACATTGTGAATGACAATTGTATGTTTTTATTTAAAAGGGCACATTGGTCAAGTTCTACAACATGAAATTATACATGAGAATAACATCAAGACATTAAACATAACATAAGCCATTACATCAAATCCAGTCTAAATTGTTTCCATACATCACAGTACACACCTTCAAGTACCAAAAAGAACATCCAAATAGCTTAAACCCCAAAACACATAAAGTAGTAAACATACAATACACATAAACATAACATTATCCCAAAAAGACACTTATACCCCTACATACATCAAAATCCCTTGAAATCCCATCAGTTACCCCCTTGGCCTTTGTAAGTTCTAGCATTGTGCCCTTTTTGTTTACACTTGCTGCAAGTTACTTTGATAAACTTTCTTGTAAGCTTTCCACTCCCACTAGCAACTTGACATTGACACCCACTCCCACTAGCACCATTGTCTCCCTTCTTCTGGCTTTTTTCCTCAACAGATTGCTTCCTCTTTTTCTTGGGCCTTCCAGGCTGATTATGGTGTAGAGAAGGGGTGATTTTAATTGGACATTCACTCATAGGCCACATTGCTCGATCTTTAATAGGCTCTACCTTGTACACATAAGCTGCTTTCCATGTTGGAGTCTACCCCAACTGTAGTTAAAATTTGTCCTGGGAAAGGGCCCTTCATAAATTCCCCATCAAAACCTAGAAAATCCCTCAGGCAAGCCCTAAACCCCTTCTTCATTCCACCCAGACACACATAAATCCTTTTAAACCTACTTGAGGTAGCACTTGGGTTGGGTTCAGAATCAAACTGTAACTTCACAGTTGTATCTGGATTGGTAAACTGTAACTCCAAGATGTAATCTCTAAGAACATCATACTGCTTTTTGTAATCTCCATGGACAAGTTTTTTTTACAGTAGATTTGGCCCTGAATACCTTGTGAATAGAGAATCCAACTTGATAGTCCTTTTGAAGTTGTTCTTGAAGAGCTCTGACTGGGATTGTTGGGTTGGATTTAATCTGATCCATTATCTATTTAGAGATAAACTTTGCGGTTGCAGATCTAACTTTTCTTGTCTGGAGGCATCTATGTTCATGGTTGTAAGTTTTTATGAACCAAGTACTATCTACATCTGATCTAGAACCTTGTATCATCCAAGGACAAGGGGTAGGTTCACCCACATTGTAACACCCCGTTTATTAAATAAATAAATAAATAAATTGATGAGTGTATAGTAACCCTAAAACCAATAATTATATAGCAAGGTGTTGGTCTCGAGGGTTAATTGCAACAATTTTAGAAGTTCGAGGTTAAAAGTGTAAGTTCTAGATTTAATTTGAAAAGGATTTCAGAGGTCAGGGTGCGTTTGGTAATTAATGGATTTAAATTGAAAAGATTTTGAAGGCTTAGGGGGCTGATTGGTAATTTAGGGACCTATTATGAAAGGAATTTATGGGATCAGGGTTTAAAGGGTAAATTATAGACTTCCTTTGAAAACAAATATTGTGGGAGGGACTAATATTGAATAAATGAATTAAAGTTTGATTTGGAGTCACGGGATATACCCGATCCCCCTTTCCCTCTCGTTGAACGGATGCAATCAAGAACCCTAACCCTCACATAACTTCCTTCAGCCGCCATACTTGGAGCTCTTCTAGCCGCCGCCTCCTCGCCATCGAAGTCGGAGTCCACGCAACCAAACCGCCGGCGAAGCTGCCGCCAGCGACGAAGAGCGGTACAAGGACGCCAACAGAGGGCCGCCGCTGCCCTCCACCGATGAAGACGCTACCTGCCTTCTCCGCTGCGACCACCCCCTTTCGCTCCCCGTCTTCATGCTGTTCCACCGCCGGAAACTCTCGGTAAGCCTTTGTGTTCTTCCCGGCGTGCACGACTTGGTCGTTATTTTGCTGTCGGCGTCGGCCGCCGTTTCTGTTCATCTCAGCGGCGTCAGCCACCAAGTAGGTGGCTGAGAATGGTCATTTCATGTCGTGTTTTACTAGTGTTGCTTGTAGAACCCGTGAAGAGTATTGGCCGGAGATGAGGCGAGCCACCATGGCAGCCAACCTTGGTGGCTGCTGTTTTCTGCTACCCATTGCCGCCACCAGCCACCATGAAGGGTGGTTGTGTGTGTTATTGTGTGTGAGAGTGTGTACCTTGTGGGTGTGAAGTTGTACATGCGATTTTTGGCAGGAACCACCACCACCACCACCACCACCGTGTGCCGCGGTCGACCACCACCGCCCGAGGTGACGATGGGTGGTGTTCGACCTAATAAAACCCTAATGGGCCTAGTGGAACCCTAATCGTCCCAATAGCTTAAATTGGACTTAGTTGGTTTGTGAATTGGGTTGGAAACCCTAATTAGGGTTTAGAAAACCCTAATTTTAGAAATGCTAGTTTTGGACTATCGGGACCCGCATTTGGACCAGTGGATTGATGTATGGCTTATGC